AAAAAAAAAAAAAAAAAAGAGGTGAGGATGGTTTGTATTGGTAACATCTTGAGATTCCCATAAAATGGAAGGAGACTGCTCTAGTGGATTGTCAGGCTCAGTTTTCTCCGGTGTGGTCCTGCCTGCCCAGCCGTCTTTGTTTAGTTAACCTCTGGGGCCCGCATTTAAAAGGCCTATTTGGGAAACTTCTCCATCCAGGGAACCAACATCTTGTGTCCATTTCTGGCCCTGGTGCTCGATGCCCAGGGAGTCACAAACTAGACCAGCCCAGGAGGGAGACGGCGCCCGCGGGGAGCACGTGTGGGCCTCTATGGGCCTGGAGGCTGCAGGGTTGCAGTCTGAAGAGAGCTGGAGGGCTTGAGCGGGAAGGGTCCATCTACACCCTCCAAATAAAGCTGACCACTATTCAGATCTCTGAGGAGGGCACCTTCCCCTCCACCTTTCACAGCTTCCCACAAGCCAATAAAGTTTCATAATCTGCAACCCACACAATGGAGTCAGCCACATACAGCTCAGTCCTGCGGCCCAGACGTACCCTTGGGCCATCAGCTGTGCCCGCTGTGTGTGTGTTGGGAGCTCCCTTCTATGGAAGGTCCCTGAGACCCCACTCTGCTTTCTGGCCCCTAATCCACAGCCCAGCACGACGTCTCCCTTCCTCAAATTCAAAGAGACAAAAGTACAGCAAAACGAACTGCTAAAAAAGAAGACAAAAAGAACGTCCCAGAAGGCCAGGGCCTCTCAGAGCTAAGTCGGGGCTGAACTGGGACATCACCCGCGCCTAGAGCGGTGACCCCGTCCCCCTGGAGCTAGGAGGGCAGAAGACCCGGCGCTGCGCCCTCTCCCACACACACCTAACCGGTCCCGCCCCGTTACCTGAGAGGTCCTCTCGGGCGTTCTGGTGCAGGTAGCTCTGCTCCAGCGAGTAAGACGACACACCGGGGTGCAGGCCGGCGGAGGCCGCTGGGTTGCTGCTGGTCGTCAGCGCTGGCGGCTGCTTGAGGTAAGGCGAGGC